TTACACAATGAAATACTACACAGCAGGAAAAAAATGACATTTTGAAACTTACAGGCAAATGGATGGATCTAGAAAATATCATATTAAGTGAGGTAACCCAGACCCAGAAAGACAAATATAATATGTACTCACTCATAAGTGATTTTTAGACATAAAGCAAAGAAAAACCATCCTATAATTCACAATCCCAGAGAACCTAGACAACAAAGAGAACCCTAAGAGAGACATACATGGATCTAATCTACATGGATAGTAGGAAAACATAAGATATCTTGTGTAAATTGGGAGCATGTGGATCATGGGAGAGAGTTGAAGGGGAAGGGAGAGGAAGGGAAAAGAATGGAGAAAATATATAGCTCAATAAAAACAATTTTTTTTTAAAAAAAAGAAAGCAATTGATCCCTAAAAGAGTTGTGGCTTTGTTGGAGTAGTTATGACTTTATTGGAGGAGGCTTGTCACTATACGAGTAGCCTTTAAGGTCTCCTATGCTCAAAGTATGCTCAGTGTGACACACAGTTACTTCTGCTACTTGATCAAGTTGTAGACTTCTCAGCTCCTTCTCCAGCACCATGTCTGCCCACATGCCATCATGCCACCCTGCCATGACAATACTGGACTAAATCTCTAAATTATAAGTCATCCCCAATTAAATACTTTGTTTTTGTAAGAAAAAAAAACCTTGTATGTCACAACTAGATGGAATGTACTTAGTACTCAAATGGAGGGTCATTTAAAAACTCAGGATGGTATACATTTTAATAGGTCAAAGAGAAATCTCAAGAACATATGGATAGAGGAAAACTAACAAAATACAACACATACACTCAGGTTTGAAAATAAAATTCTGAATGAACTAAGAAAAGAGGGGTGGTCCTTAACTACGATGAAGGTTATCTTACAAAATCCTACAGCAAGCATGGCTGTTATTGAAAAACTGGTCTCTTTGTGACTAGGGGCAAACCTTCTTGCTCCCACCATTGTTCTCAACACAGTATTGACCCTTCTAGCCACTGAAGTAAAGCAAGAAAAAGAAATAATGAATCTGTCTCTATTTTTTTTTGTAGATGACATGGGATACAAATTGAATGCACAGGTCTGTTACATTTCTATACATCAACAATTAATATGCATAGCCCCAAATTTAAGATACAATGCCATTTATAACCACTTCAAAATTATGAAATGTGTATGAATAAATCAACCTAAACTTTACAAAAATTGAAAACTATAAAACACTGAAATAGCAAAGAAGATCTGAATAAATGGAGACACCGTTTTATCAATTAGAAAATTCAGTATGGGAAAGACTCCAGCTATGTCCCAATCCACACACTGCTTAATTCCATTCCTGTCACAGCCTGAGCAAAGCCATTTGTAAGTAAAGCGTTTCTAAACTTTATACAGAAATGCCAAGAAACTAGAATAAAATTATTTTGAGAAAGAAAGTGTGATCAATTAACTAGGTTTTTAAACATTATTCATTGACAGTCATTAGGACACTGTGGAACTGGGGACATGATGAACACAGGTCAGTGCAGCAGAATAAAGACATATGAGTGGCTCCCCATACGCACTATTCAAGACCTGTTGCTAATGTTGCAAGCATTTCAGGGCTGGAGCAACTGACTACCTGCAGGCAGAGAAATAAACTTCTTCCTAAATCTCACACCTTAACAAGTTTTTTTTTTTCAAAATACGGAAATTAGTATGGAGGTTCATTAAGAAACTCAAAATAGCTCTACTGTGGGGCAATGGTCTTGTACCCTGTAAAGACTTGTCATTTGTATTGGTTTAATAAAACACTGATTGGCCAGTAGCCAGGCAGGAAGTATAGGTGGGATGATCAGAATAGGAGAATTCTGGGAAGAGGGAAGGCTGTCTGTAATCACCACCCAGATGTAGAGGAGGCAAGATGAGAATGTCTCACGGATGAAAGATACCAAGCCACGTAGATAACACAGACAAGAATTATGGGTTAATTTAAGATGTAAGAGTTAGCTAAAAAATATGCCTAAGCTATTGGTCAAACAGTGTTGTAATTAATATAGTTTCTGTGTATTATTCTGGTCTGGGCAGCGGGGAAATGAACGAACAGTCTCCATTTACATTTATCCTACCAGACCCAAAAGATTCCAAGTAAACATATCACAGAGATGCCTCTACATCAATGTTTATTGAAGCACTCTTCACTAAAGTTGAATTAGGGATCAAACTGTGTCCTTCAACCGAGGACTGGATAAAGAAAATGTGGTCTGCATGCACAATGGAACTAAATCAGCACAGACAAAAGTTACGTATGTTCTTTTCTGTGGGGTCTAGGTTTTATACAGGTTTATAAAATCACATGAGCAGATGAAAATGAAGGTAGACATGAAGCTGTTTAGGGGACAGTGGGGACTAGTGGGAGGGAGACAAGGGAAAGCGAGGAGAAGAAGGCAAGGATGGTGCAACATCCTCAATGTACATTATGTACTTGGAATGAAGGCTGAGCTATGTAATCCAGGACAATAAAATACAAAAATAAAGATTAATGATAAGTTTAATCCAAGAATGGAAGGAAGCACAGGAAACAAACCTTTGGGGGTCTCAGGGATGGTTAAGCATCCTTAGATATTACACTAAGAACATGACCTATTTTACATGATTGCCCCAAAAACTAAAGTTGGACTGCCTCAAAATGAAAAGGTTTTATCTGCGCCCCACACCCCGCCTCGGCTTGCTTTTTTTAAAAAAAAACATACATGTTTAATTGACATAGAATTACATCACTTTCCCCTTTCCTTGAAAAGGTCTGCATGTATGAGATCGTGTTAGGAAGACAACATGACCAACTGCAGACAGAACAGTTGAAAAATCACAAATAAGACTTGAATAAATAATAGCATTTTAGAAACTCAACTGTATGAACAACAACAATGCAACTAGAAAATGGGCAAAACACATGCAGAGATATTTTACTAAAGAAGCTGTAGCTGGATATGGCGCACGCCTTTAATCCCAGCACTTGAGAAGAGGCAGGCAGATCTCTGAGTTTGAGGCCAGTCTGGTCTATAGAGGGAATTCCAGAACAACCAGAATTACAGAGAAGGCCTCTCTCCAAAAACAAAACAGCAACAAAAAGGTAGACCTTCAAGCTTTTCCTCAGTTCCTCTCACCTATCTGCACGGTCATAGCAAACCTCTTCTCTGCAAGATGATCAGATGATCCCAGGTCTCCCAATGCCTGCCTGTTGCTATCCTCAAAATCCCACCACCCAACAGTTTGGCAACTCTTTTCTTTTCAACTGTGTGTGGGGTACATGCATCTATGTATATATGAATGTATATTCATGTGTGCACATATATGTGGGAATACATGAGAAGGGTTGAGTACAAGAAGTCAATCTCAGAAAAGTAACATTTTTGAAATTTAACCATAGACTAGTGCTTGAAAATAGTTCATCCAGGTTACGAGGATATGAGCATAAAGGTGGTTAGCCCAAGGGCAAGGAGTTTGTGTCTTGGTTATGATAGTCATTACATGGCTCTGTCCATGGTATGCAACAGAAGCTGTTGAGATATACACTGATCGTCCCTCATGTGAAACCAAACATCCAAAAAGATACAAAGCCTGAAAGATTTTGAGTCCTGATACTGCGACTCAAATGGAAAACTCTGTATCTGGCCTCAGGCAGTCCCCAGCACAAAGGGGCACCAAAGACACTGAATGAATGGCCTCCAGGCAGTGTGAGCTGGCCAGGACACCAGTGAGTTCTGTGCTTTTGATTCATTTTAATTGTACTTATGTGTGCTTACACACATCCATGCAGGTACCTGTGGAGGGCAGCAGAGGGCTTTGGATCCCCCAGAGCTGGAGTTATAGGGGGTTGTGAACCTCTTGAGGGCACTGGGAACTGACACCATGGGTCTCGTTGCAAGAACAGCAAGTGCTCTTAACCTCTACAACATCTCACTGATCCAGCTTTAAACTTGGGTGCCATCCTCAAGCTGTCTCATTTGTGTGGATGGCCATATTCTAGAACTACAAAGCAACTGAAACTTGACATACTTATTGTATTCTCGCTGTTGAGTTTTGAGCCTTATTTGTGTCGTTGGGTATTGTTCTGCTGTTGGACACACAATCTGCAAATGAGGGGCTTAAATCAACCTCCCAGATCGGGTTCTCTGTGTTTTTCTCCTGAAGCTTTATAATGTTGTATTATATTTTGTATTCGAGATTAGTGAAGTTTCCTGACACCGTCTTATATTTTTTTGGTTGTGAGCCTAGCCTTTAACAGCTGAGCCAGCCCTCCAGGCCTACTGACACTGTCTTTTCGTACTTGAATATTTTCCAGTTTTACTTTAAATCTAATACAAGGGGTGTTAAGGATGTAGTGCTTATCTAGCATGCATGAAGCCTTGGGTTCATGCTCAGCACCCTATAAAACCGGGCATGGTGGTTCATGCCTGCAAGCTTAACACTTGGAAAGCAAGGGTAGGAGAGTCGGGAGCTCAAAACTATTGTTGGCAACACAGCAAGACCATGGCCAGCCTGAGCTACATGAGACCCTGTGTCAATACAATAAGTCTAAAGGGCAGAGGAGATGGCTCAGTGTCTTGAGGCACATGCAGCCACAACTGACCCCCAGAATTCCATCCCTAAACATTGTGGAAGGAGAGAGCTGGTGGTCCTTTGATATGAAGCATGCCCTGCTCCACTCAGACACATACATACACAGACACATACATACAGACACACACACATATGGAGACATACACAGACATATGCACACAAATGGAGACATACACAGACCCACACATAAACATACACACAGAGAGAGACATACACACACAGATAGACACTCAGAGACATACACACAGACACATAGACACACACACACAGATACATATGCACTAAATAAATACATACATTTTAAAATCATGACAACACTAATCCAAGGAACATCCCTCCACTTGCCTTAAGAGGTAAAGAAAGTTGTTGCCACCAACAGCTCACTTACCTCATTCCCAGGAAGGTCCCTGAGGAAGGGTGCTGTGCCCAGGCTGTGGTGACACTGGCACATGCTTGCCCTGTCTTCCTTCTGGCCGTTCTGATGTAGTGTTTGCAGGGAAAGTAAGAGGCTTGCCCTGGCCTTGCTCTTGGGCCGATTTGAGTCCTCTGAACATGTGTTAGCGTCCCTGTAGCTTCTAAGAGAGACCATGGAGGCTGCACTAGTCCAGCCCCCAAGGCAGAGATCCACTCTCTGAGCCCCAGGCATGGGACTCGTGGGCTTGGGGCTTGTGGGTCTGCAGGGCATGTCTTGGATTTCATAGACCAAGTGGCAGGCAGAGCTGCAGGGGAGTGTACCACCAATGCCAGTGTGCTGGGCTGGAGGGCTGGTGGGGGAAGTCAGCCAGGGCGGCTCTGGGATGATCCCAGAGGAGAGGTACCTCCTGCTTTCCTGGGTAGCAGTGCGTTTTATGGTTGGTTCACTTTTCCTCCGGTATTCCGGAGAAGCCAGACAGCTAGAAGGCGGAGTTGCAGGAGACTGTAAGGGTGTCCAGGACTCCACACACACGCGGCTGTCCGTGCTAACTGTCCACTCATCACGGTCGCCTCTGGTTGCTGGTGGGGAAGAGCGGAGGAGTTCCGGAAAGTCTGGTCCTGGAACACCACTCCCCAAAGAGGGCCTTTTGGAGCCTTCCACATCCTTGCTTCTCAGAAATGTGCGCCAGGAACTCTGGCCTCGTCTGCGTTTCTCTTTCTCGCCTTTGACAGAGCCAGCATTTGTTTTCTCTGTGGCTTTGGACTCAAAAAAATTGGTAAACGTCTTATGGGCTAAGGCCAGCCTTGCCCTGATCTTGCTTTCTGTTGTTTTTAGTCTCTTGATGTTGCCATTTTCTAAGGAAGGTCCTTCGCCACCGAGATCCCCTAGTGTCCCCTCTTGAATCTCTCGCTGTGCACCAACAGAATGGGTCTCCAGAGACCTGCTCTGGTGCACGTGGTGGTGCATAGGAGGCTCCACCTGGCAGGCTGCAAACCATGGACTCTGGGGCACACCTTCCTCGGGGCTGGAGCAAGCCGGGTTCAGGCCCTCTGAGGTCAAGACCGGGCTGCAGAGTATGTCCCCTCTGGAGCTTTTCCCAGACCAGGACCCGTCAGTTCTTAAAGGGGTCATCTGGAGAAAGGCAGGGCGCTGCTCTGACTCCTGTGCACCCCGCTGAAGCTGGCTGCAAAGTCCCTGGAACTGCTGCCTTGCGACTTGGGCGGAAGCCAGGACTCCTGAATGGAGGACCTCTATTTCGACAGCCCATGCACTGGAGACTTCTGCATCCTCCGCAACGTCTGTAGTACACTCTCCTTGTCTGAGTTCTGGGCTGGGTGACTCCTGGCTCCCCTCAGGATGGATGCCCAAGCCGGAGTGTACACACTCAGACTCCAGGCGCGAGGTTTCCCCAAGCTGCTTCTCCTCCAGAGTATCTTCCGAGCTCAGGGTGTCATCTGAAGCAGCCCTGGGGACCAGAGCTCTCACAAACTCTATGCCTTGGGCCAGCAACTGAGGAGCGCCATCATCCGGCCCTGCTGCCGGGCATCCTTGCAGTTCACGCTCACTGCCGTACATAGGCATTTCTGGGGCCCTGGGAGACTCATAAGCTGTGATGCCTGTACCTTGTGGAAACTGAGGTCTTTCCTCCGGGAAATCACGGAACTGTGATTCTAGACGACAGCAGGCCTTCCTTGTGGAGGTCTGTTTGCGTTCTTGCTTGACTGCTATCATAGTGAGTTTGCAGCTGTGCTTACAGGCCCCATGTACTTTGGGCACCTGCTGCTGGCCAGAAGTGAGAGGCTCCCGGCCATCCCTGGTTCCCTGCGCACACTCATCCCCAGGACGGCAGCAAGTTCTTTCGACTGTTGGGAAATCCAAAAGACTCTGCAACGCATTTCCCCTGCATTGGGGGTCTAGAACCGCTGCCTCTTCTGCCGCATCTGAAGCACCAATTACACTTGATCGCAGGGTGCTCTTTGGGGCGTAGGCGCTATAATTCACTTCTGGGGAAACCACTAGCCTTTTGTTCCACACAGCTATCTCACCGTGGCTGCAGCAATGTGGGAAGGGGAAGGCCCTATCAGGCGGCTTTCTCTCCTCATTGAGAACGCACTTTGATGAGTAGGTCTTGGTCTGGTTTCCTGTCTTGGCAAGGATGTTTTGCAGGCACCTTTGTTTACCGATAGCATCACCAGGGTGCAAATCTTCAGGCTCCACCGGGCTGCTTTCTGGGCTGTGTCCTGGCTTGCATTCAGCTGGTCCAGGCACTTCCTCTTGGCTGCCAAGCTTCAGCAGTTCTGAAGTAAGGTGGGAAGGGTCTGGGCATGACCTAGAAGCCTGTTCTACCTGGTTTTCCAGTGGGAGACCTACACAGGGTGTGTCTTGAGATGCCCTTTTAAAGCTACAGTCACTTAGCTTGTGCTCACCCTGCGAAGGAGGGGCTCTGCTTGGAGCAGTGAAAGGTGAATAAGACAACTGGGTGGGCCCAGGGGAGAGGGTGTTAGGAATTATGGGGTGACTGGGTTCTAGTTCTGTTCCTTCCCTTAGGTAGGGCTCAAATGTTACACATTTCCACTTCAAAGGCTCCTTAAGGCAAGCCAAAGGAAATGCTGCTACAGAATGAGCCCTAGCCAGAGTCTTCTCATGCTGGCAGGGGAATCTTTGGGGTGTCTTGCCATCGGCACCAAGATTTTCTGGGACACTATTATGACACTTAGTGTCTACGAGACAAAGTGTGCCCAGTCTTGGCTGGCTGGCAACATCCAAGCAGGAATGAGCCCAGAGTACATCTGTGCCCACTGGGGGCCTGGGCGCAGGCCCCTTCTTTGTCCTGATCCACAGAGGGAATTCATTGTCCTGTGGGCCTATATGAGGTCGCTCTGCTGCCCCAGCCTGGCTGTGGATGTGTGGCCAGCTCTGACCGAGTTTACAGTGCTCAAGAAGACAGGGCCAGACCACAGGGACATCCAGATAGCCCCTAGACCTGGCCTTTTGCAGCCGGGGACCCCTGCTGTTGGTGGTGGCACTCTGTAAGAGTGACTCTGCCACTGGCACTGACTTCCCCACCAAGCTGGTCACACAGTCACAAAGACTTTCTTCATTCCACTTTCCAGCTGCTGCAGCCGCTGGCGTGTGCAATCTACTTTGGTGAGAAGCTTCCTTTAAGCCTGAGAGCAAATCCAGGTCTTCCTCTGTCTGGAGCCCTTCAACACCAGCCAAATGCTGTCCTTGAGGAAATCTACCCGCTGAGCCATCGGGGCACCCCCAGCCTGCTTCTCTACCTGCAGAGAGGCCACATGGAGAGCTGCAGAGTCCACCTGTGAGGTCACCAGGCAGGGACTCTGCATCAGAAGCACTCTCAAACGGGTCTGTTTTTGTGTCTGATAGACTTTCACTCTTGTGGGACAGTGTCTCAAAATCCTCAGGGTCTACTTCCTGGCGCCATTCCTGTTCCTCTGAGTCCTCAGGGGATGGGTGGAATTGGTTATCTTCATTCTCACCTTCCCCTGGAGGGGGTGCATCCGATTCTGGAGTCTAGAGAAGGACAAAGGAGAAGAATCAGAGAAAAGTCTCCAGGACCTCAGCGCACATACACCATCATGCATGACTTTATCTGAAGGAAGTAGCCTCCATCGTTTCCCACAGAGCCCCGGGAAGGAAGGGAAGCATGAAATGCTACTTTGCATTAACACAGAAAACAAGTATGCAGGGCTGAGGAGATGGCTCAGTGAGCAGAGCCTGCCATGCAAGTCTGACAACCCCCTAGTTCAGATCTCTGGGACCAATATAAAAGCCAGGCAAAATAGCTCAAATCTGTAAACCCAGAATGCCTATGACAAGGTGGGTGGCAGAGGCAGGAGAATATCTAGAAGCTCAAAGACTAGCTAGCTTGGTGTAGGCAGCAGTGAATAAGAGACCTGGTCTCAAGGTAGAAATTGAGGACCGAAACCCAAGGTTGTCCCCTGACTTCCTAATGCTTACTGTGATACATACATAGCCTACCCCCAAACATGAGCACGCAAATCCATAAACATGAACAATCACTGTGCACACACACACATACACAATACTACCATATAAATACAAACATGAACATATACAAACACACACATACACACATGTATCTCACATACATATACTCATGCATACACACATTCATATACACATAAACATGAATATAGAAATATATAAACATAATATATCACATGTATACACATACTAATACATACCCACTCCTATACGCACACATATGCACAAAGATGAAAAAAAAGGTAAACAAGGAACAAAGCCAAACCTGAACAATGAGGAGAAAAATGTCATACAAGTTAAAACAAAACCACCAAAAGGCCCAACAGGCCATCCGAGCATTCTCAGTTTAAGAAAGCGTGAGCATGCCATCTGAGTCAGAGTGAGAAGCAGCCTTCTGTGTGGGGTAGCCAGCAAGAAGAAACAGATTAATACATGTCTACGGGAGGTTCTGTTTGTTCTTGTGTAGCCCCATGGCTTACAGCAGATGCGCTTACATTTAGCATTGTTTCTTAAGTTCGCATAGCTAGAGGGGGGAAAAGAAGAAAACAAAAGAAGCCTTGAGAACTATTCAGACTGCAGACATGGGAGGGTATTGTGAGCAAGGCAGCTTAGAACAATAGAGAGAAGTTGGCAGAAAGTTTGCAGCATTTTCTTCTCTCTCTCCTCTCTCTCTTTCTGACTCTCTTGTCTCTCTCGCTCACGTGTGTGTTACATCTGGGACCCACACGTCAGTATCATTGCTTGGCTTTTTGTTTGAGACAGGGTCTCTCATTGGTCTAGAGCTTCACCAAGTAACCTGGCCCATGAGCTTCATGGATTTGCTTGTCTCTTTGCCAACTGCACTTGGCTTTTTTTTTTTTTTTTTTTTTTTTTTGTGGTACTGGAGAATCAAACTTGGGCTCTGATCTTTAAAAGGTTGGCACTTTGCCAACTAAACCATCTTCCCTGCTCTCTAGCCACACCCCACTCCCCTTTAAAGACAGGGTCTCATTATATAGCCTGGCTAATTTGGAACTCCCTGTGTAGATCAGGCTAGCCTCAGACAGAGATCCACCTGCCTCTGCCTCTGCCTCCAGTGAGTACTGAAACTAAAATCCATTGCCACCCTGCCTAGCTTATACATTTCTTAATCCACACTCTAAGCCGTGAATTCCCGTACATCCTTTTAAAGGGTACAGACCTGAGCTATGAAAGAGGTATCCACCTACAAAGATCTACTTCCCCTAAAAACCTCTGCCCCTTCCCAGTCAATATGCTCCCCCTCCCAGTCCTCTCGGGGTCAGGGATCTGATTTCTGTTAGTCTTGATTAATCTGCCCTGGAGTTTGACATCGACAGATTCTGCAATAGTCTTTGGGGGTCTGGCTTCTTTCCCTCAGAGGTGAAGCCGGTATCAAGCATATCCAACCTGCAGCCTGCAGGCTTCATGTGACCCACGTGCAGTGAATGCAACCTAACCCAAAACTGTGGAGTTACTTAAAACATGAGGGGTGTGTGTGTGTGTGTGTGTGTGTGTGTGTGTGTGTGTGATTTTTTTTAAAAATGTAACTGGACTACATGGTTACATTTCTAGATGGCATTGTATGGTGATGTTTAACGCTAGACATGTCTGCTAGCATGCCCTAGTCCACGCAGTAGCCTCGGGTGTGAGGTTACACTGTACTCGGCATTCAGCCATCAGTTTCCATCATTCCCTCAGGCTGGGAATGGCACAGGCACTTGTTCCCGAGTCTAGTCAGAGCTGCTCAGATTCTGTACCTTTCCCAAGCATGCTTTCCCCAGGATATGTGTGCGTGTACATGTGCATATGCGTGTGTGTATTGCATGCCTGTGCACCTGTATGTGGAGTCACAGGTTATCCTCAGATGCCTTCCCTCCAACACCTTCTACCATTTTTTTTAAAACATAAAACAGGATTTTAATTCAAGCAAATTCCATGATGCCAAGAGTTCAACTTTAAGCAAAATTAAATTTTGTAAGACTTGAGTAGCCTTTTTTTAATTGTCCATTTTAGCTATCACTGCCTGTGCTTGCTTCAAATTTTTGAAGAGTGAAATATCAACATGATTTTTTTAATTTATTAAAGATTTCTGTCTCTGCCCCACCTCCGCCTCCCCTTTCCCTCCCCCTCCCCCAATCAAGTCCCCCTCCCTCGTCAGCCCAAAGAACAATCAGGGTTCTCTGCCCTGTGGGAAGTCCAAGGACCACCCTCCTCCATCCAGGTCTCGTAAGGTGAGCATCCAAACTGCCTAGGCTCCCACAAAGCCAATACGTGCAGTAGGATCAAAAACCCATGTCCTTCAATTGAAGAATGGATGAAGAAAGTATGAAATATATACATATTAGAGTACTACTCAGCAGTAAAAAACAAGGACTTCTTGAAGTTTGCAGGCAAATGGATGGAAATAGAAAACACTATCCTGAGTGAGGTAAGCCAGACCCAAAAAGAGGAACATGGGATGTACTCACTCATATTTGGTTTCTAGCCATAAATAAAGGACATTGAGCCTATAATTCGGGTTCTTAGAGAAGCTAAATAAGAAGGAGAACCCAAAGAAAAACATATAGGCACCTTCTACCATTTTTGACCTTGGGCTCACTGACTCAGCGAGTCTGGCCATCCGGTAAATGCCTGTTTCTGCAGCGCCGCCGTTGGGATTTGTAAATGCATGCAGCATGCCCAATTCTTTACAGGCATTAGACTTGAACTCAGACCATCAAGCCTAAGCAGCAGCACTTCACCAACGAAGCTATCTCCCTAGCCCCTGAAAACACGTTTAAGACAATTCCACCTAGAGCTAAGGTGATGGCCATGGAAACCCAAGTTTGGGCTCCTGGTACTGACATAAAAGAGACCCAGGATCAGGGAGAGTCCTTGTCTCAATGCAGTAAGTAGGACAGAGAATAAGAGGACACTGGACATCCTCATCTGGCTGGCGTGCATGCACACGCATGTGCGCACACACACGCACACACAATACGTCTGTTGCAATCTAAACTCCTTACTATAGATATGTTCAAACAACTTTGTAATTCTTAGCACAAGTTAATTAATAGTACATAAATAGAAATAAGATCACAAAATAAAAGGTATTAACTCTCATATTGAATCTAGATGATGATCTAGGAATGAATGGAAGTCAAATTTAGAGGCAAGAAATATTTTTTGACACTGAGTCTCAGAATGTTCTAGGTGGGAGACAGGATCAGATTCAGATGGTTTTTTAAAGGCAGGCTCTCCACTTTCTCTTGGGCAGCACACTGCCTCAGACACGAGGGCCAGACTTTGACGAACACTGAGCTCTCGTGAGTTTTCGCAGAGCTGAGCCAAGAACACGACTTCACAAAGGTAAGAGTGGCTGCCAGGGGCAGGCTCCAGCCCTTCCGCTCTCCCACCTCAGCATCACAGCGCCTCTCTCTCCAGATGGCACTGGAGACACACCTCCCCTCAGCCGATGTGAATCTCACCATGTCTCTCCTCTTCTCAACTCCAAACATGGTGACATTTAATCTCCACACTTCCTCGTCTACCACTTCCTCTTTTCAAAGATGTCAGTATTGGAGGACCCAGTATGCCCTCCAAACAGCAATTTCAGCTGTACACACAGGTGATATATACAGGTGCTTGGGATTCAAACTCACAACCTCATGCCTGAGCAGCAAGCACCCTTACCCACAGAGTCATCTCCCCACCCCGACAAATCCAGTATCTGTAACATGAGATATTTCAATGAACTCGGCAAGTCTATTTGTTTTCCTAATTCCCATTATAATTTCCTATTTCACCCAAGGTTTATTAGAAGACTATATTAGTCATCTTTTTTGGTTTCTGATTTTTATTTAATTATGCCACAGTCTGAGATGTTGCCTGTCTGGTACAGATATTCTGAAGCTAGTTGAAACCGGTTCTACTGGGTGGTGCGAAGCCTCATTTCATAAAAGCCCAGAGGTGTCTGGGGAGAATGACTTGTATGGTAGTTCACCACGGTGGAAGCCTGTCGGCTCTATGTAAATCCCCGGGGACCTTGCTAGTTTCCCCTCTGGTATGAGGACTGCCGAGTGAGGATTTGTCGTTTCCTCTTTCAACCCTGTCATTATCAATGCACATGCTTCAGCCTTCCCTCAGTCAGGAGAGACCAGCTCAGCGCTGTCACATCTTCCTGGAACTTTATTCTTTATTAGGACTCTTTTGTCCTAAGAGTGGCTGTTCTTTTAAAGGCCACCTTCCCATACAGTAGTTTTCTACTTCCCTTAAAGTGTGCTTTTCATAATCACCTACAGCGAGGCTTCTAAAATCCAATCTTTCAGTCACTTTTCAAAAATACTATTTTTATTTGTATGTACGAGTGCCCTGTCTGCGTGTTTGCCTGCATTATGGAAGAAGGCATTGGATCCCATTATAGATGGTTGTGACCCACCATGTAGTTGCTGGAATGTCCAGAAGAGCAGCCAGTGCTCTTAACTGTTGAGCCGTCTCTCCAGCCCCTTTCAGGCACTTCTACCCAG